TTCTCGGTACCTGGGAATCAATAGTTGGGTACTCCAGCCAATAGTCCCGAGTCCCGAGTACTGATATTTGGTATTCAGTAGTCAGGTTTGGAACTTGGGTCTTGGTTTGGTTATCATTTGACTGAGATATTGGTAGGCAATATTGGCACTCAGAGCTCAAATACTGACTATCAACTATCAAGTGTCGGGACTTGGTAATCGGTAGTTGAGACTTGGTGCTTAAATGGATATTGCATATATACATAAAAATACAAAATATGTTCCTATGTGTTCATTTCTAGGTGAACAGACTTTGGAATTATATCTCAATCATCTATTCAACAATAGAAACAATGTATCAGGAGCTCAGGACCATAGGGTAATCCTTTATTGTATAGTGTACCTCCCCCTCTTCTGGTGGTTCACCCGCTGGGGGTTTTTCCCTGTAAAGCTGGACCTCAAGGACTGTAGGGAGTCTATTCCTGAGCATATTCGGAGTAGATATATCATATAACCAGCCCAGGACACACAGGATCCTTCTCCAGGAACAAAGCATAGACAATTGCACTTGTGACATTTTTTCACAATTTTCAGTATCTTGCCCTTGCATCCATGATCCAACCTTTTAATATATAATGAGCATAGCTTATATTCTTGCTTCTTATGACCAAGATCAGCTCACAATAGGCTGGAGTTTGTGAGCTAGTGTGCATACTTGCCATTTTGCCTGATAAGGGGCCCATGCCTTCAAAACATTGAATCTTCATAATCAGAAACCTGGGGTACATTTCAAATATCTTAAGTATCATAGACATAAATTTACAGACAAATCAACCAAGAATTGAGTACTGAGGAAGTGAAATGGGTAAGAAATTGAGTGTGGGAAACTTCAAAGACCCAAAGCATCGAAAATGGTTAGTTGAGCAGTGGTAGGACTTTAATGCTGGGTCAACTCATATTTTCACTATATCCCTTCTACCCACCCCCTACCCTCAGGGCAGTAGGCAGTATGGGTTCCTTGGGTAGTTTACAATCTATCCTACATATTTGTAATGATATTTTTGGCCTGAATCATATATAAATGTGACTTTATATAAAAGATGTCTACTGTCACTCTCCACACATCATTTTGCCTATCATTACATCAATCCTTCATGAATCTTTCTAAGCTTTTAAGCTATTATAATGGATGTATATGGGTGTTATTCCAGGTCTCTGATCACATCACAGGCTTGTCATGTTGGATATCTCGACATAATGTGCAAGTCTCGCTATTAATATTCATTCTTTATCTTTAGACTCACTTACTGCACACATGTATTTCATTTGTCATTATTGATGTTTTGGATTTCTTTAGCTTATATCTTGGTCACATGGTAACCAATGGACGAGAAAAGACTACAAATAAACTCACCTAGACTCGGACTACAACCTTGATTAAGCTGACTACTGATTCCCAGATACCGAGTATCAAAACCAAATACTGAGTACCAATTACCATGTACCAAGTACTGCGTAATGAGTAACAAGATAACCAATTGACAAGAAAAGACTACCACTACACTCACCTGGACTTGGACTACAACCTTTGGTAAGGAGTTAAGCATAATAACAACTTTCATTTTTTCATTATTGCTGATGTTTTGCTGAATGACAAGGAAAGACTACCAAATCACTCACCTTGACATGGACTACAACTGTCATTTTTCATTATCATTTGCCTATATTGACTACCGAGTCTCGAGTACCAACCACTGACCACCGATCACCGAGTGCCGAGTACCGAGTACCGATAGGGAATAGTGTGGGTGAACCCCGGGGTATGAGTAGCACTACCCCCACCCATACCCCATGATATACCCACACCCACCTTGTGGGTGTGGGTTTTTTGGTGGGTATCAGGGAGAAACTACCGAGTCTTGAGTACCAACCACTGACCACCAATCACCGAGTACCAAGTACCGAGTCCCGAGTCCCGAGTCTCGAGTCCCAAGTCCCGAGTCCCAAGTCCCGAGTCCCGAGTCCCGAGTCCCGAGTCCCGAGTCCCGAGTCCCGAGTCCCGAGTCCCGAGTCCCGAGTCCCGAGTCCCGAGTCCCGAGTCCCGAGTCCCGAGTCCCGAGTCCCGAGTCTCGAGTCCTGAATCCCGAGTCCCGAGTCCCGAATCCTGAGTCCCAAGTCCCAAGTCTCAAGTCTCAAGTCCCGAGTCTCGAGTCCCAAGTCCCGAGTACCGAGTCCCGAGAACCGAGTACCGAGTACCGAGTCCCAAGTACCAACCACTGACCACCGATCACTGAGTGCCAAGTACCAAGTACCAAGTACCAAATCCCAAGTCCCAAGTCCCAAGTACCGAGTACTGACAAATACAATTCCCAGGTTATTTGAGCCCTACACCAATGGATAATACATACAAATACAATTTGTGTCCATTTGAAGTACCGGGTTTCAGGTTTTGACACTCGACACTTGGTGATTTGTGAAATGAGTGAAAAATGGACATGTTGTGTACATGATGTTGGGTTTCGGGCTTTGGGTCTCGGCCCTCGGCACTCGGAACTCGATGATTTGAGTAATGTAAATGAAAAATCAACATGTTGCATGCCGGGTTTTGAGTTTCGGGTTTCAGCACTCAAAACTCAGTGATTTGTACAGTGAGTGAAAAATGGACATGTTGTGCACATATTTTCGGGTCTCGGGGTTCGGGTTTCAGCCCTCGGAACTCGGAACTTAATGACTTGTGTAATATAATTGAACAGTGGACATGTTGCACACCCGGTTTTGAGTTTCAGGTTTCAGCACTTGAAACTCGGTGATTTGTGCAACAAGTGAAAAATGGAAATGTTGCATACATATTTTCGGGTCTTGGGCTTCGGGTCTCGGCCCTTGGCACTTGGAACTCGATGATTTGTGTAATGTAAATGAAAAATCAACATGTTGCATGCCAGGTTTCAAGTTTCGGGTTTCAGCACTCAAAACTCGGTGATTTGTGCAATGAGTGAAAAATGGACATGTTGTGTACATATTTTCGGGGTTTGGGGTTCGGGTTTCGGCCCTCGGAGCTCGGAACTCGATGATCTGTGTAATATAAATGAAAAATCAACATGTTGCATGCCGTGTTTCGAGTTTTGGGTTTCGGCACTTGAAACTCGGTGATTTGTGCAACAAGTAAAAAATGGACATGTTGTGCACATATTTTCGGGGTTCGGGTCTCGGACCTCGGACCTCGGAACTCAATGATTTGTGTGACGTAAATGAAAAATCAACATGTTGCATGCCGGGTTTCGAGTTTTGGGTTTCGGCACTTGAAACTCAGTGATTTGTGCAACAAGTAAAAAATGGACATGTTGTGCACATATTTTTGGGGTTCGGGGTTCGGGTCTCGGACCTCGGACCTCGGAACTCAATGATTTGTGTGACGTAAATGAAAAATCAACATGTTGCATGCCGGGTTTCGAGTTTCGGGTTTCAGCACTTTAAAACTCAGTGATTTGTGCAATGAGTGAAAAATGGACATGTTGTGTACATATTTTCGGGTCTCGGGGTTCGGGTTTTGGCCCTCGGAGCTTGGAACTCAATGACTTGTGTAATATAATTGAACAATGGACATGTTGCACACCCGGTTTTGAGTTTCGGGTTTCCGCACTTGAAACTCAGTGATTTGTGCAACAAGTGAAAAATTGAAATGTTGCATACATATTTTCGGGTCTCGGGGTTCGGGTTTCGGCCCTCGGCACTCGGAACTTGATGATTTGTGTAATATAAATCAAAAAATGGACATGTTGCATGCCGGGTTTCGAGTTTTGGGTTTCGGCACTTGAAACTCAGTGATTTGTGCAACAAGTAAAAAATGGACATGTTGTGCACATATTTTCGGGGTTCGGGGTTCGGGTCTCGGACCTCGGACCTCGGAACTCAATGATTTGTGTGATGTAAATGAAAAATCAACATGCTGCACGCCGGGTTTCAAGTTTTGGGTTTCAGCACTCAAAACTCGGTGATTTGTGCAATGAGTGAAAAATGGACATGTTGTGTACATATTTTCGGGTCTCGGGGTTCAGGTTTCGGCCCTCGGAGCTCGGAACTCGATGATCTGTGTAATATAAATGAAAAATCAACATGTTGCATGCCGGGTTTCGAGTTTTGGGTTTCGGCACTTGAAACTCGGTGATTTGTGCAACAAGTAAAAAATGGACATGTTGTGCACATATTTTCGGGGTTCGGGGTTCGGGTCTCGGACCTCGGACCTCGGAACTCAATGATTTGTGTGATGTAAATGAAAAATCAACATGTTGCATGCCGGGTTTCAAGTTTTGGGTTTCAGCACTCAAAACTCGGTGATTTGTGCAATGAGTGAAAAATGGACGTGTTGTGTACATATTTTCGGGTCTCGGGGTTCGGGTTTTGGCCCTCGGAGCTCGGAACTCAATTACTTGTGTAATATAATTGAACAATGGACATGTTGCATGCCGGGTTTTGAGTTTCGGGTTTCAGCACTCAAAACTCAGTGATTTGTGCAACAAGTGAAAAATGGAAATGTTGCATACATATTTTCGGGTCTCGGGGTTCGGGTTTCGGCACTTGGCACTCAGAACTCAATGAATTGTGTAATGTACATGAAAAATGGACATGTTGCACACTGGGTTTCAAGTTTCACGCTTTGGCACTCGAAACTTGGTGATTTGTGCAGTGAGTGAAAAATGGACATGTTGAACAATGGGTTTCAGGGTCTCGGGTTTGAAAAATAGCATAATAACAACTTTCATGTTTTCATTATCATTTGCCTATATTGACTACCGAGTCTGATAAGAGACCCCTTGGATGATTCATTGCTCAATGAAATACTACCTGATTGGAAGTGTGCTGGTTATCAGATATTCATTTGTCGACTCCCGGGTCCCGGAACTTGGAAGTCGGTATGGTTGACCCAAATTTGGGTGGTCAGAACTTGGCATCTCATAGGGCAACACAAGCTTCACACCCTGGATTCCAAATTCTGCAAGACAACCTGTGCACCATCAAAGGCCATGTCAGGAGATCACCTGCTGCTCCGGGAACTCAGGAACTTTGATTTATTACCTCCTCTGAGTACGGTTGACCCAAAGGTTGGTAATCGGAACTTGGCTTCTCATAGGGTAACACAAGCTTCGCACCCCGGATTCCAAATTTTGCAAGACAACCTGTGCACCATCAAAGGCCATGTCAGGAGATCACCTGCTGCTCCAGGAACTTGGTAACTTTGATTTTATTACCTCCTCTGATTTGGTTGATGTACAACTACCTCAGCTCCATCGTGTTTACAATTATGATACACATGGGCCCACCCATCTATATTTTATACCACCCTCGGCCCACCCGTCTAATACAACATCCCATACAACACCCTCGGCCCACCGGTCTAATTAATATGCGTCTGGGCCCACCCGTATAATACAATATTGTATAATACCCTCGGCCCACCCATCTAATTTAATATGTGTCTGGGCCCACCCGTGAATGTGATAACAAGTACCTACCCATCTATCTCATACACATCTACCTTAATATACCCATCTGCATAATATCCAACTACCTCGGCCCACCCGTCTACCTAATATTCATGTACATCGGCCCACTCATCTACTCTATATATCCCCTGCATGGGCCCACCCACCTCCATCGGGAATAATTTGCCTCCCGGCCCATCCGTCATAGTCGAGGATATTTTGATCATGGGCCCATGGTCCGCTGGCCCGTATCATACGGGATATTATGCACGTCCGTTCCCTCGTATTATACGGAAATAGGTCACTGTAATATGTGAGGGATAATCAGGGTATCAGTTCATGTGTAAACAAATACAGTATTTGTACGACTCACTCGACGATTGGTATTGCTTGGTTTGTGAAATATATCCTGAGTCATCAAAGACGAAAAAACTTCAAGGTCAAGTAAGGACCCGAGTGACAGTTCGGTTCATTATTGCACCTGTATACAAAACCAAGTAAAAAAATCGTCAGTGAGTGACATATGAAATACGAATGAATCAATACTCACCCAACATACAGATGGCGCCTCCCAGGTGGACGAGCGCAGAACAATTAATCTGGCTGCAGAATGAGCTGCCCAACTACTTACAGATGCAAAAGGAGAAGAAACTACCTCAATTTTTTGAGTAGCTGTTTCCGAGGTGGTTCAACGACTTTCCAGAAGAGATAGAGCTAAACAGCAGCCCACCTTGTGTCGAGAACGCCAGTATTGATGAACATGGTGGAGCTCTTATCAACTCCATTAATGAAACAGCCCAGCCTGATATTATAAATGAACCTGAATCCACCGAACAAGAAGACAGCGAGTCAAACTCACGGCCGATGCAAGCGGGAGAATGGCACAAAGTACGTGGTATTCACGTTGTCCTATTTATAATATATAATAGTTTTTCTTGGTTAGCAATTGCGGGAATGGTTTCGGAATAATTCAAAGGGAAAAACTACACCTGGCAGTAGCTCAACCAGTAAAGCCCTATCTGCACTACTTGGCCAGCGTGCATGAGGCACTCGAGACCTCAAAGAAGTTGAAGCATATTCAAAACTTCACTATGAGTCCAAAGTCAAACCATTGGTCTCTGACGCACTCAAAAATAATCCTGTACAACCTACACAAAGGCTAAGCGCAGTCCGGCAACACACCACTGATTGCTTTGCGGATGAGTCGGACGAAGTTAAGAAGGAAATTCGGGAGGAAACTGTACGTCTTAATGCTGCCAGAAGATTGGGTGATGTTGTGGGACAGGATTCACGAACAAAAGAAGAAGTTTATCAGTAAGTGATGTACTTGATCCAAAATAGTGCTGATCACTTACAATTTGAAGTGCAATTCAAGAGCTACCAATCCTTCTAGGTCAAATCTTCGAGGACCTCTCAGTATTGATGGGTGGATGGCACTACACCCTTCTCATGGGCGGAGTCGACCCTTTGTGTGAAGGTGACATTATGACGTTAAGGTGTGTTGTTTGCTCTTTGTTGTGCCAATTGCATGTACTGATTCATCAATGCATCAATAGCTACCACCACGGTAAAACCGCAGATGGTCTGAGCTTCAAGGCACGTACGCCGAACTTCCATGAACAGTACCTATCACCATTTGAACGACACCTTGGATGCATCTATGGTAAGTGATTCCTGGCTATGCGACTCAAAATTATGATTAATGAAAATTTACCATAGGTGCATCTTCAAAGTCCACACTGCCAGTGGCTCCCTCATCCACCCCAACCTCACCTCGTCTTCCACCTGGCCTGATCTCACTAGAGGACAAGTCAACCTCACCCCGTCTTCCACCTGGCCTGATCTCACTGGAGGACAAGTCAACTTCACTTCGTCTTCCACCTGGCCTGATCTCACTGGAGGACAAGTCCTTGGTTGGAAATGTGCTTGATCCCTCTCCGGACTTCAACGCACTTGCAGGAACGAAAGAACATGGTGAGTGGTCGATGCGCACTGACTTGAACCCTATCACATTTGCTCATAACACGACAGATACGCCAATCACTGCTTGGAGAAAGTTGACAGCATTTGATGAAGACCCGCTAACTACATCCCCCACCTTTAATCGCACTCAATGGCCAGGTGTCAGTGTGGCGGATCCATCAGTCGAAGCTATCCCTCCTCTCATGTTTCATCCATTGTCGTCGTTTCACACCACCCTCTTGCCCCAGCCTGCTTCGCTCTTGGCTCAGCAAATGAATCAATTTTCTGCACTTGCAGAGGTCAATGGACTGTCCATGGAACCACATGGCAATCCATTGCCATTCAACCAACCGATGTTCAATTTGGGGCCGCACGCACCCTCAGACACCCATATTCCATTGTCCTTGCTAATGACTATCACACTGTCACTCCTGTCTACATCCACACCGCCCGAGTCAATTCATTTCAAGTCTACCAAACACCAACCCCCGTCAGCTCCTCATCAACCATTGTCCATTGACCGGGGGTCTTCTGCGGCTTCTCGCCAGCTGTCACCTTGTGACATCGGGGGAGTCTTGGCTGGTGAAACTCTCCAACCCGGTTTGGAGACGGAGATGGTGTCTTCATTACATGTTGTCTCTGCTGCCTCCAACAGATGCACCAAGCACCCACCACGCCCTTCTACGCGAGCTGCTGAAGCCAACAAAATTGGTGTCAAGCAAGGAACAAAGCCTGCACCAAAGAGGAAGCAGACCGAAGTCCAGCGCAGTGGTGAGGGGTTGAAGAAAAAGTCTCACAAGTAGATATATTGTAGTCTGTCATGTTTTTAATGTAGCTACCTGAACAATATACGAAGTGTGGAAGCCCACAGAGGCAATGGCCCTCATCAACAAGGGCATCCAGGATGTACAGAGTCGAGCCTTTGCGTTTCGATACCTCTTGACCCTCGATGTTCTGTTCAAGAGCGGCCATATAGTAGGGCTTGCATTTACCACAAGACTTGTGATCTGCCTCAAAGACGTGGGGTTTAACCTGCAGCCCTGTCTTGCTCGCATCGAGGCAGGTGGTAAACCTGCGCTGCAAACCATAAGGCAAATACCATACCAATAGACTGGAAATTCTCACATGTATGCCAACCGAATGGCGGCAGCACTTGCATAGCCATGCTCATACACAGCAAGATCATGGAACTTTGAAGCAGATGATCTCAGCATATCTAGTAGTACTAGTACTTATCAACTTTTTTGTTTTTGCTTTGACTTATTGAATTGTGGGACTTGTGCCCTTGTGTGTCACTCGTTGTGGATTTTAATTTACGAAGCAAGTGAGATTAAGGAATGTGCTAGTAGGTCACCGGTGATATATCATTAAAATATTCAAGTACTGCAGCCAGGGGAATATATGATATATCATATTCTACTGAGGGCATTGAGGTAGGTGATATATCATTAAAATATACAAGTACTGCAGCCAGGGTAATCTATGATATATCATGTTCTACTGGGGGCATTAAGGTAGGAGATGATATATCATTGAAATATGCAAGTACAGCGGTTGGGGGAATATATGATATATCTTTGATATATCATGGCTCTACTGCTGGTATATCCTCAGTAAATAGGTGTTATATCACAGGTACTACTAGTAGTAGGTGATATATGCAAATACTGCAGCTGGGGAATATATGATATATCTTTGATATATCATGGCTCTATTGCTGGTATATCCTCAGTAAATAGGTGTTATATCACAGGTACTACTAGTAGTAGGTGATATATGCAAGTACTGCAGCCGGGGAATATATGATATATCTTTGATATATCATGGCTCTACTGCTGGTATATCCTCAGTAAATAGGTGTTATATCACAGCGCTATGATTGATGTATCATCTTCCCACACATTGTGTCATAAACCAGGATATATCACCTTCCTTCTACCATGACAGCAATATAATACATCATAATGACATTATCGCCTGCTGCCAGTAGGTTGAAAATCAAGCTGATAGCCTGAGAAGCACATCGCAATGGTGAGTCATGTTTCTGCTTTCACTTTGGTATCACAGTTGATGGTGCAACTTGTTGGGAGTAGATCAGTACAGTTGCTTTTGGACAAATTTTCGTACTGCCCAAACAATGCAGATGTTTGAACTTATTTGAAAATGACCGACCGTGTCTGGTTTTTCTTGTGGTCCAGTAAGCTTGAGTTGGGGAGGCTGTCGAAACGAGCGATCATTGTTGATGATGATTTATATTGGGAGGGAATGTACTTGGGCTGCGCAAATGATCTTGAATCTGTTCGTCTAACATTAATGTTAGACTAGAAGGCTAGCTGGTAGATCTGTTTCTTTGTGTGAGCCAACGACTTGGAGACACCACTAGCCTAGATTGCTGATCGTGATTCATGACAGATGTGTTATTTTCTGGTATATAGTCGAAGCCCAAGTTTATATGGGAGTGTGTGTCATGATGAAGGTGACAAAAGGAGGCAACACCTATATGCGGTACTTTCTATCAAAGGGTAGTGTGGAGAGCTCGAGAGTGATTTGACTCGAAGCTCCAGCCTGAGCGTACACCGTCACGTGACCATCTTACTTCAGGGATGTCAGTTTTCATGTTCTATTGAATTCAATTGTGTTACAGTCGTTTGCATAAAGATTTTCAGTTGCGAAACCACGCAACACATGTTTGTATATATTTGTCACAGTATGAAATGGGTGGCCAAAGTCACGATACCAAGGTATTTTCCTGCTCTACAAATACATGTTGCGTGGTTTCGCAACTGAAAATCTTTATGCAAACGACTGTATAAGATCTGATTTACATCCCTGCGAATTTCAGGTACCCTCAAGTTCTGCGAGGTTCCCTCCTGAACTCTGCCTTAGACCAGGGGTGTACATCACAAATAAATGATGATATTCCTGATCGGATTTTCAAAATTTGTGCGGCTTAGTGGCGAAGTTGAAGTGTAATTATAGCCAAACATCCACCATCATGCCGACTCCCGAGTGCTCATACTCACATCAATTCTACAAACATAGCTTTGCGCAGCAATCTGCATCTGTTTTGCATGTTGATGTAGATGCGCCATATGTGCTGACAGATATAGATGCAGTCAAAGCAACGACAATGGCGAGGAAGGAGAAACATGCGAGATGCTATGGATTCTTCTAAGGGAGATCTCAAATGATATCTCTGAGGATGGGGAAACGACGGCCAGCTTTTATATCTTCCGTATTCTCATGGGCACGATTCTGATTGATTTAGCAGAATTTGTTATTGCTGTCAGATGCCTGCAATAGCGTGTTTGATTGATTACGGGCATTGTATCATAACCTCCATTATCAGTGGGACTGAACACATTTGAAACACTCAGCAAAATAAGGCCAAATGTTCGACAACACAGCTTCATCAAAGCTGTGGAAGCTGGGAAGTCCACCTGCCGTCGACATGCTCACATGCACACTCGTGAACAAGTGGGGATTACTATTGAGACCGCACAGGATCTTCAAGTGTCTTTAGTGTGGATACCTTTGCTCTCGACCAAGATTCGTGATGTGGATGTCCTTTTTGGTCCAGAGAGTAGTATCTCCCCTGACGACGTTGCTACCGAATTTCTGGCTCCCGATGAGTTTGACTAAAGAAGTTCAAAGCATTAATGAAGTCAAAACGCTCCAAAGAATACTTTTGATTTCGATGAGTTTGACCAGGTTAAACAAGGAATAATACCACAGGCCATTCTAGATCAGAATGAGGTTGTCTAACTACAGTCACAAGCATGATGGTTGGAACGAGGTCACATCAATATTATCATTGGGAACATTTCACAATACCAGCCACAGACGCAACCCACCATCATTTGCGCGTCAAGTCTCTCCCATATCGTGCTGCATCAAGCTTCGTCGTGTCGGTGTCGCGTAAATCTTACCATCGCCTCGTTCGCAGAATGAACTGGTTATTCTTTCAAGACTAGCAGCACACAAATCGCACGAGTGAAGAAATTTGTATTTCTGAATTGCAAAGAGCGGAGTGCTGCCAGAGACGGTTCAAATGAGTGATTTATGCGAGGGGACTCACTCTGATGAACTACTATACTAACTATGGCCCCAGTACCTAATGGCAGGTTATGATACAAGGGTCGTAATTGGACACGCTCCTGCAGGTTCTACCGAAATTTCTGCCGTCTGACCTGATAGCAATAACAATTCTGCCAAATTGATCAGAGTCATGCCCATAAATATAAAAAGCTTGCCGTCGTCCTACAGTGTTCCCCCATCCTCAGAGATACTATTGAAGATCCCCTCAGAATATTCCATATCACTTCGCACAGAAAATGTGTTTCTCCTTCGTCGCCATTGCTGCTGCTTTGACAGCATCTATGCATGTCAGTGCATGTAACACATATTGCCAATCAAATACAGATTGTTGCTCAAACATGGTTTGTGGACTTGACGTGAGTATGAGCAGGTCGCTGTGCAACCAGGATTCAACCGTATGACTCACCTGCGCGCCTTAGAATGGAGTTTTGACCTGCATATTGGTTGGAAATTGAGTCGGCAGTACGAAGGGCACGCGGGGACAGTACATTATGCTTCTGCTTTGGTACCATGGTTGACAGTGCAATGCCTAGTTCGCAGTCAATCAGTACAGTTGTTTTGGGACAAGTTTTGGTATTGCTCGAGCAATGTGGATGTTTGAACTTATCTGAAAAACGATCGATTGTGCCTGATATTACTCGTGGTTCATTAAAGTTCAAGTGTTGCCGGAGCTCCAGCTAAAGCCATTTCTGGCATTATGGTTTGACCGGTCAACGATGTTAATTGGTTGACTACGCTACTATCTGCAATCGACATCCCCGTTACAACGACAAAGAGAAACTAGGAGACGAGCAACTCATAGTCAGCCAACTAAAATGACAATGCTATCCATGGGACCCACAAATTATTAGCACATCTAAGCTTGATCTAGTTGGCCAGCATCAGTACATGTCTCCCTGCCTTCATACCACGCTTGAAACCCATCGGGAAGGGATTGCATTTCCGGTGCATTCGTCGATAGGTATGTGGGGATGACCGATTGCTCCCTGTTCACTTGAAGACCAAATAGTATTCATGAAGCGAGAACGCTGTGCACAACAATCTGGGGTCTAAAATGTCGAATATGAGCTTTTGACGATATATATATATATATATATGACCAGGCTAACATGTTTAAGGTCTCGCTGTATGAGAGCTAAGGGTGTGTTCAGTTCTTCGAAGCCTGCGTAATCAGAAAAGAGCTCACAGGGAACACAGAGATGACAATCACATTAAGAGTGGATACCACTATAGAGATGTCAGCACGAAAATCATAATAACAATGGTGTTAATACTTGTGATGCAGGACATGTAGAGGAGTCCATCGCCGTAGACACTTCTTATTAACGTGTTATGACAACCAAAATAGTGCCGATATTTCACAAATACAGTGATGAGCATGAGAACTAGAAGTGAATCGTCAGAATAACATATTTGAATTAATCGCCACCTCACCAATCTCGAAGATCATCAAGAGTCCATACCCAAAAGCACTGCTGCGAGCCCCCTCAAGCGTGCAAAGCGGGCCAGCTGGAAAAAAATGAATATTAAGACCAAGAGGCGAACTTTAAGACCTCGCCTTCTGGGTTGCTGAAATGGATGGGGGCAGCACTTAGGACCACACACGTTGGACCAGGGGTCCCAAGGCATAGACTAAAGGAAGAGACATAGACAAGAGGCAGTTGGTCCTTCGGCGATAGCCATAGCTTAGTCAGCGACACGCGCACATAGCCAAACTCTGTTCATAGTGTAGCACATCATCATGCATCACAGAGCTCTCCCCTCACTGCTTTTGTCCTAGTCCATCGTGGTGAACAGAGAGAATCCGAACCAGCGCGATATTGCATCACACACCTATCACACAAAAAAAAGCACGCAGAAGAAAGAAGCATTAGCTCGCGGTCTAGATTTTAGTCATAGAATAGAACATAGAAGCTCCCAAATAGAAGCTAACGAACCATTTACAGAAACATACAGTCTTATTACGTCGCAACTCACATCAAAAACAACACCAATTACAAAAAAGAGCAGTGTTCATCTTACTCGCATTTACATTTATATTTGATGCCCAAAGCTAACAAATTGAGACCCAGAACAGCAAAAGGACAAGCGGTAACCAACGTTCGTTTAAAAATGAACTGGGAACTCTGGTCAGAAGAGACATCAGCAGCATCATCTCCTCTCGATACACCAGATCCATCAGGGCACAACACGCCAAGTCACTGTAGCACATTGTCACTAAGCAGCCTCTCGGAAGAAGACGAACAGCAGAACAATCAAGTCCCTTTCCCAGAACTAGAGGTCCCAAAATTAGACATCTACATACCATCGTCCGAAGTCCAACAACCATGTCGTCGCACGAAGACAGAGCAGCTCACATCCATCTCCACAGTACCAAATTACAACCTAGCCGAATTCTTTGCACTCGCACAGTTAAAAACCTTCATGCCTGTAGAGACCCCGCAGATATTTCATGGCGATGGAAGAGCATCAGAAAATCCGGCGGATTTCCTGAAATCCTTCAATCGAGCAATGCGTCAGCAGACGATAACAGACAGCACCGACAAATTAGACGCTTTCGGTGATTACCTCGGAACAAGTTCGCAAGCAGAACGATGGTTCAAAGTGTTGCAGTCGAAAGACAAAGCGACATGGAACACATTCGTGATAGCATTCGAGAAATGCTGGCCGCCAGTCCAGATAGCGGAGAAGACAAGAGCAGAGTACGAGAAAGAATTGCTAGAGCATATACTACGAGAAGAAGACGTAGGAAAAAAGAAGACACTCTATGATAGAGAATGCTGGACGCACGTAGCATGGGCGATGAAGACGCTTCAACTCGCAACAGACGCAGGCATTGAACAGAGCACGTCGATGATATGGCAAGTCCGCAGTAAACTGCCGGACATCATAAAAGATCTATTGAAAGACGAAGAATATACCAAGTGGGAGGAGTTCACGAAAGCGGTGACGGAGCTCAAGGGAAGTCGGCTTGTAGAGAAACAAGAACAATACCTCAAGCAATCACACGAACTCAAAGCGCTACGCGCAGACCTAGCTCGCGTCCAGACACGAGCACCTCAGCAAAACCCAATCGCAGCATTGCAAAGTCAATTCAATAGAATGTCGATTAACCCCACAACACCGCCAACGCTTCCGACAGCGAACAACACATATAACCGGGTACCAGCAGCAACCAATCGTCAGAACACACAACCAATGTATAATCGGCAACCGGCCACAACGCAACAGCCGTTGGTAGTAACGGAGGAGATGAAAACAATGGTCAGGCAGCTAGTTCAAATGATGCCGCAACACCCGGATAGCACTGCAGGAAAAGCAGCATACAGAGCGCAGCTCGCACAGTGGAACACGAGATGGGGAGAGAATGCGAGAGTCACGCAAGAAACAGGATACCCGCTAAAGCCGGGCACAGCAGCCATCGCATCCAGTGAATGCTTCGCATGTGGGACGCACGGACACAACAGACGGGATTGCCCATTACCGCCGAACCACGAAGAGAGGCTAACACGCAAAGAAGCAGCGTGGAGAGCAATTGTGAGCAAGACGCTGGGCGCATACAACAGGGCAATGGCCACACCGATATCACTAGTCATGAGTAATGGCTACGAGGAGACACAGTTAGAAGCGTGGATCGAAGAGATTCCTGAACAACAGGGAAAAGCGGACGGGTCGACGTAAAAAAGAACATTACGTCGACCCAAAGTCTCAAAGACATTCAAGCTGGAGTTGAAGTCCTCGCATGCGAAGAGGCAACATGCGAGGACAACCCTAGGACCATTAGCCCCAAAGTTTCTGCTGAGCGCGTAGCTAAGGATATCGCATGTACTATTGAACTTCACGATGCAATTGAAACCAATGACTTGTATTCGGTTGGACACCCGGTTGTCACAAAAGCTCAGTTAAAAAACGGAGAGGCAGTTCCATTCGCTCACCGAATAGAGCTAGAAGGTCCACAAGGAGAAAGAGTCAGAGTATGAGCGATATTCAATGACGGCGCAATGACCAGTGCAATGTGCATGTCGATCTTCGAGAAGATCAAGCACAGATTGGGAAACTGGAGCGCATCAGACAAACGATTAAGGATGGCAAATGGAAATATAGTCAAGGCAATCGCAAAGTGGACGGGAATGATTAGGATTGAAGAAGTCGGAGTGCGGAGCACATTTGAAGTCTTTGACAGTGGCGGAAGCTGGGGCTTCCTACTAGGAAAACCGACACTTCAAGCATTCACAGCAATTCACGAATACGAAACGGACACGATCGTGATAACCGACGGAATCAAAACAGTTGCAATAGAAAACCGGATAGCGGACAAGCGGATGTTACAGAGAGCAGATGCAGTCAGTCTCACGCTAGACAAGAAGCAACAAAGGACGTTAGAAAACAAAACAAAACCGTCAAACATCCCAATGGGCCAATGGAAGCTGACAGGATACTGGACCAGAAAGAAGAGAGAGAGCGCGTCAAAAGAAAGAACAGCAGAAAAGGAGAAAAACACATCAAAGGGAGTGACAGCGGCCCATCAGTGAATTCATGAGTCCTTGATATTGTAGCCGTGAGAACGATAGAACGACATAATTATGTTTCTGTCAAATATGGCCATTTATACTCGAAAAAATCTGTGTTGTTGATACATAGACATGTATATATGCAGATCTAGACTACAACGAGGAGTTCGTGAAAATATCACGACATTGCGGCATCACAGCCAGTAAGAATTTCTAGCGTAATTGTGTGCCAAGTGTTAAGCATTCTCATTTGTCATCATATCTGGTTAAAATTATAAAGCTAGTTAAGACTTTCTCCTGAAAAGCGGCCTGAACACCTGGCATCATATCTATATTAGTATTGAAGCTTGTGACCAGGGTGTGACATTGCACCATTATAGCCGGTCAGGGGTGATAGGGTAATTGTGTCCAGGTTGTTGAGCATCCGCGTTTTTACTCATTTGTCCTTTGAATTATAAAGTTATTGAAGACTTTCCCATGAAAAATGACTTTGGCATTGCTCTTAAATATATTTTAGCATGAGAGCTTGTGACTATGATGCGACATGGCACCATCACAGCCAGTAAGGAGTGGTAGGGGAATTATGTCGACTTGTGAGTAGCTTTTAGACTACGAGCAACTTGAGTCATCATACATACCCATGGATGCCCGCAAGTCTAGCCCGGTATGAACAGTCATAACAGATCTATGACCTTTCTTTTTTTGCAGCCGACGAGGAATGGTTGTATACTTTTTATATCTTTGTTATATATTGTCATTTTATCTTATCTAGGTGTGCTACCAGCTACCACAGGCACCGCTCCCAATATCTCTTGGCTCTCCGACGAGTCCTCAGTAGCAACATTCTCAAGTGCCTCGATTTCCTCTATATACGAAACGTCCGGATCCCTGCTCAATCCCAGTGAAAACAATCAAGATAGAGGTCGATACGTATCGAAAGCTGGGCTATCCTGCTCATCTCAACGGTCGATCCTCGCCGTTTTTGTGCGCGTCCTTCTGAATTGATGTTCATGGGACTAGGTACTGGCATTATCGACAGACATGGATGATAGCACAGGAAGCAAAATCAATACCATCTATATGATGGGAAGCTGCAGACGAGTTTGCCGAGGCAGCATGTAGAGATGGATCTGTGATAGAGCCCCTACGATGCTGGCGTCTTGCACGATGAGCTCATCATTGTGATGAAAGGCAAGTCCATCTCTCGTGTCAGAGACGTAGGACGGCCAGATTAGTATGGCGTGTCCCAATTCATCGTCAAGCAAAGATTCAGATAGGTTGTATGACAGGGCCTCGAATGGTGAACTGTTAGAAAAGTGGCGGGAAAAATATGCTTTGTTGCCCTCGCCTCACATTCATCTAATGGTGCCTGTGACATCGCCTCGCGTGTCTCTGCTTCATCTTCAGATGATGAAGGGAGAACAGAAAGATTGGAAAGGTCATGAGGCGGAGATGGAGTGCGGAAGTCAAGAATGGAAGTGCTTGATGCAAGACGGCGCGGTGGAGTTGTGAGCGCGAAGGTGGGAATGTCAACAAGGTGATCGTAGCCTTCTCGGTTTTGCTGGGTCACAACTTCGGGGGCGACATATGCAGGTGTACCGCACATAGTCTGTGAAACATAGACCCATCAGTGATATGTTAGAAAGTTAAAAGTGGAATTGCTGACTCTGAGGAAAGTGACACTATCGACAACCTTAGCGAGACCAAAGTCGGCAACTTTGACAGTGGGGGATTTTCCGCAGTTAGCAGCACGTTCTAAATGGCCAACATTCATAATGGAATCAACTCCTTCAAGGGAAATTCATTACCTCGGGCTTCAGGTCACGGTGCGCGATCCCTTTGCTATGAATGTACTTTGAAACAGGCGACAGGTCAGATGATTTACGGTCTCATACGGCGAGCTGACCTACTGCAAGGGCATCGCAAACTTGCGCGATTATGTGGACAGCCAGTGGTTCCTCTGAAAATAAACTTGAGAATTACCAAGCATCGACACGACCTGAGAAGAAAATTCGTCCCAAGGAGCGGAACTGGTCATTGTCGGTGTTCCTAGAGGAGTGAGGGATGAGGCATCGCCTGCTCTTGGGACTGAGAGTTATTTAATGGAGAGTCTGGAGTAGGAGGTCGGAACGAGGTCGCTGAAGTTGAAGAAAGAGCTCTGTGAAGACATGCTTCATCATTGGAAAAAACACCAGGTGTTTGAACGAGTGAGCATTGTCTTGGTGGCGAGGATGGTGGAGACAAACCTAGACACCAGAACCTCTGTCTCTGGCTCGCTGGGAGGATCTTCATTTAGCGGGCCACGCGTTGTCTTCCGGCTTGCATTGTCACGTCCTTTTAGTTTCCTGTCTATTCAGGGTTAGAAAGAACCAAACATCATGATGGTGGAGGTATTACCTTTACATGGTCCTCAAGTGTCGTTCCTATACTAATGTAGAGGTCCGAGACTTCGTTTCATGCTCTTTGAGGCTCTAGCTCTGTGAAATGGAATGACGGGGGTGAAATTCAGGATAGATAGAGGTGGTATACCATCATCGTCTGAAATTCTCTAGGTATTTGTAATCCAACGAAGGTGATGATTCACATAATGATTCAATTCGATGTATAAGATTCAAAGGGAGTATCAGAAAGATATATAGTCGAACTCGTCCTCGTCCTCGTCCTCGTCCCCACACTCTTCGTTCTCATCCCCAATTTCCTCATCCAGTTCCCCGTCAGTAGACTCATCATCGTATTCTTCAAGACCCTCGACCTCGACAACCTCTTCTTCCTCGGCGCATTCTTCATCACCCGTGCTTTCGCTGACCTCTTCAGGGTCTGTCCCTTCACTACCGTTGTTGCGAAAACAATCTCTAGTGATTTTCCGCAATATTACCGAATGCCCCACACCGAAGTGATTATATCGCATATACATATCTCGATCGACGAATCTGGTCCAAACCTTGAGCGTTGAAGCGCCACGAAGATATTTCACTCACATGCCGACAAAATGCTCTTCCCAGTCATCCGATTGTCCCGCAGGGCGTGCCAATGATTTTCCATAGCGAAGCGCGCTTACGCCATGGCCTGAGGCAAACGCAGGAATTAAATGGGCACCACGGATTACCTGCCCTGGATCGAGAAACCCAAATGCATCTTGGTCCGACTCCTCCACAAACGCAATCTTGGGCAGACGGGCATGAAACGTGCCGGATTTATGATTCCGTAATGCTGCCAGCCATCTAACCCAGAGGACCTCAATGTGCCGTTTCACAGGTTGACCTCCATCGTTAAGCCATACCTCCATGTGGTAGATACCCAATACACGGGCATACCAGTACGGGTGGCTAGGTGTAGTCTCCCCAGAAAGTACCATGACGTCTCCATGGGTTCGGGGGTTGATGGTGTCGTATTCGCGCCGTAAGTCGTAGGTCGTATAGTGTACTTGCATGGTCTGGACGGAGTAGATGGTGTTGTTGGGAATTATGACGGAGTTACGCTCCTCGTTGGTGAAAGCGTGGTCACAGTAGCTAATATCTAGCTCCCGGAACCTATATAAGATATGATCTCTCAGTTTCGGTATGAAATTCTGAGAATTTCTGTGAGTAAATTATAAGGTGTGTCCAAAATGCACTACCTTAACAGCCGGATCACCATCATGTTCCCGGAGAAAGGTAAATATATTGACTGGATTGTTCCGGGTACTCGCGATATAGTGATGCTTGTCAGACAACGATGAGGGGGGTGGGGCCTCGGCGCGTGGTTGTCTACCAGAAGAGGATTCGCCCCCTGATTCTGCTATCCGCCGTAACACACGGCGCCTGCGTTCGTGCTTGGCCAATTGTGCTGGTGTGTCTAACTTGCTGGTCAGTGGATAAAATGCTTTTAGGGCTCTATGAGCGAGCTCTCCCTGGCCAAGCTTAATGTCAGGTACAGATACATAATATGAATGCAACTGCTACGCACGATTTGAGTGGTGAATGAATCTGTGGTCCCGAAGAACTTGATGGTTCTAACATAATCACCCATAGCATGAAACTTATACGTACCCAAATTGAACTTCTTTGGCTTCGTCCCGCTTGATTCTGGAAAATTAGTGCTGGTATCGGAGCGTTGAGCGGCCTTTCGTTGGCGGGATGCTTTCTCTTTCGGTAATTCGACAGTACTAAATGCAGCACACGTGTAGCTTTGAAACTTTCTGAGCATCCGAGTCAGTTTCTTGAACGTTACTTCAAGAAGAGTAAGAGTGGACTCCGAATGAATCCTGAGCTTGGCGAGGGCATGCCACTCTGCAAATCAATACAGTAGAGACTGTACCACCGCATCGTGGTCAGAGGGGAACAGCCCCTCGAATACCGGAATGGCACACTGAGAATATTTCAGCAAGTCGAATGCGGAAAATGAATAACTCGTAAAAACCTGTAAAATATCTTCAAAATCGTGCGCCGCTAATCTCTTCATTTCAGAGGTATTGTTTGAAAACCTGCGGATTACGCCGTTACCGAAAGTCGGGACCTGTCGAAATCTACAGTAAGATTTTGAGTCGACGATTTGTTAGCAGGTAATAACAACACTCCGTAACAACTCCTCGTACCTGCTATCAAGGATTGCAACAAGCTGACTACCCTTGGTACTGAGAGCATAAAGTAGCCTAATGAGGTGCGTGAATAGCGCCTTCCAGGTGCCCAACTCGCACTCATGCATGAAGTCGACGACGAGCATGCGGAATGGGTCGAGGCCGAACGGTCCAAGTTTCTCGACAAATTGATTCTGCACATAGATAGCGTGTAGCTGATGATGAGAAAGCAAGGAAATAGTTGTACTTACAATAGTAGGTACCCAGGAGCCGTCTCCAAGAGTATGGTCTACTTTTGCACCGTCTACGGTATTTCCCAATTGATAAATAAACTCGCGAGCCTTGACGACCTTCGCCATGAAATATACTCGAAGATTGGTCATACGACTTTTCATGTCGGATGCGAGCCCAAGAAAATTAAACGAACCCTTCGGTGTAAGACAGCGAGGGCAGGGACACAAGCCCATGTCCTTGATAGTCGCAATCAAAACTCTGTACGTTGATGGGTGATTAACATTCTTGAAAAGCCCGCGAGAAACATACTTTTCAGGATAATCCGCGGAATATGTGAAGATTCGAGGGAAGATTCTCCGCAGCACTCCATCAGCGCATTTCAAAACGATACCGTGGTGATATGCGTTAAGAAAGTCCTCATCCAACAAGATTTCCCAACACCCATGGAACAACTCCCTACGACAGTGTGCTTGAAGAGATGCCATGCCACTTTTCGATATGTGAGGTAGGCTACTTAGGATATCTTTGACGCTGTCGGGAAGCTAACATTATCAGTAGTAGATAATCATGCCACGTTCGTCGACTTACTGAAGGTAAAAATCCTACAATATGACATGCTCCCGATTGAGGTTGTGAACGTGCGTACTTTGTCAGATTTGCGAAATACATGTAAAGTGGCCAAGCCTTCGCAGTCCCAAAGTTTGCGAGGTGAGTGGCGTCAGAAAAAAACAACAAACCCGCAACAACACGCTCGAGTGAACAGCCAGGTTCCTTCGGCAGACGCTGAAGAGCGTCCTGAGCTTCTAGCCAAGCATCGGACGTGTAGAATTCATCATAAATCCGCTCTTGATGACCGTCCAGAGGATCTTTCCAGAGCCGTTGGAACGGTAAGAGATGGAATGCCCGGGCTTGGATATCTGCAAATGCGGTACGTATTACTTCAACGAGAGGGCGATAATGGAAGCCGGGAATGGTATAAGGCTGAGGGCCATCCTCCTTTGACTTCGTTGGAATATTAATAGTGACGTTAGTCTGAATCCAATCATCTGGAAATTGAATTCTTTTCCCATTCCCGTCTGTGTCCAGTTCTCTCAAGCTCCGCTTCACCGAGAAGTTCTCGAGGTGCTCGTGGTCAAAGTCCTTTGCCAGTATTACGTCTTTGACAAGGCGCGAGACTTTACTTTTGGACACAAGATTACTACCTGTGTTCATCCAAGACATAAGGCGATAGATCGTCATGTTGGGGAAGGGGTAAGGCGGCGCAAAGATATTCAATGGAGGATCAATTTCTTCGGCGACCGTTGGAGACGTTCTTGCGAGTAGCGAGGATGGAACAAATGTATCTGGCTCAAAGGAAGGCCGACGAGGGTATAATCTGCATAGTCCAAACGAGTTGAAAGTGGTCTGGAGGGTGTCTCTCAGCGTTAAGAGAACACGTAGGATTCTGGACCGAGCTGGAACTGAAGTCAAAATTTGAGTTGACTGGACATCAGGATTATCTGAATGATTAAGTTCATCTCGCGAAGGTTCGAAATCATCCAAAGGTCTCGGAATTCGTCTCATTGGAAATGCGATTTCATCTGGAAGATTGGGTAATTGTAAACACATCAGATGATAGTTGCTGCCTAGAGGGAGACACAAACCCGAATTGTAATCCATCTCGTCTCCAGCATTGTTCCCCATCTCAACATCGATATGATCATTTTGTTCCTTCTCTGAGTCGAGAGGGTGTTGCAAGTCTGCGAGACTGGAGACACTTGGCCCGTAAGCCATAGACAACGGCATGAAGAGCCTACAAGGGGCAATTGGTTTCAGACTCGGACGGTCCCTTACATGTCGGACGGCTGATATTCTCTGAGATCGGCAGTGACTGGATGCTCGACTTCCAAGTATGAGAAGTTCACTCACTGACTCTGATGCAGGGGTGCTCGCCGAAGTGTGCCGAACCAAATTTGAAACAATCGCCTCTTTGGCACGATTATGTCTCTTCTGGCTCGCAAGGGTACTGACTCTCCTATAAAATTGACAGCTTGCGCGATGTCGATTGAGTCCTCTATTGTCTGTTTTCCTCTCCCAAAAGCAACCCGCAGCATTACAAGCTACCATCAGAAGAGAGAAGAGGAAAAGGCCAATCCAAAGTCTTCCCGGGAGGCGCATCACAATTAAGCCAGTTAGCAAGCGGATACCCTGACTGACATGGAGTTGATCGTTTGAAACAAGTTTGAAATTTAAACCACCGATGATACATAAAAGTTATAACGTGCGAACAACTAATTAGTAATTGCGCCAGACTATATTGCCAGTCTAATATACGTACTGGATGTCACTCGATACAACTAAAAATATAACGAACACTGAACTTCAACTCATCCTTGATCTCCAGAATCACCCAGACTGATACAACATATCTGCCCTGTGTCAGTGAATACATCATGGCAGGTCGCTCGGACTTCCTCTTTGATGTTCCCGGCGACACCATCTGCGTTCGATCTCGCGAATCAAAGCAATCAGTGGTGTGTAAACCAATGGATGTTCTCAAAAGAACAGTGTACCAAGTGCCGGAATACCCACGGGCAGGCATGACCATAATGATATTGTACGTTTTACAAAACCGCCCTCTAGGTGAGGCGAAGATATCTTGATGACCCAGTACATCACTGAGAGTTGCAAAATGTCGGCCACTGTCCTGATCTTTGCCAACCTCGTCAAGTACTTCCAGCGCGAACATCCCCTTTATGTTCTTCGTACTCGTGGCTTCGAGCCAGGTCAGCCTTTCTTTACGTCCATGGACGAAATAGTGTACACCTACGCTGCAGCAATACAGATGACTCGACCCAACGGTCCTTATGCCATTTCTGGTCAGAGTGACGAGTCAAACTCGTTGGTTTGATCAACATCCCCTCATATCGCCAACCGCATGCACCATGAGATTGACTGGACTTGGTGGCATGCTCAACCTTTCGTACTTCCTTGGTCTTGTGACGAAACAAGATGCCAATGAGACTGAAACTCGGAGGACAACTCAGAGACTCCGGTCCGCGTGATATCAATTGGAATCTGGATAGAATTTTGATCACTTAGAACAATAAAAGGGTCGCAGCTGTACTGACTAGCGTTGACGGCGACAACAGGACCTTCTTGAGAGGTGTTCTGTAGGCCAGAGAACAGGGGAGGCAGGAGAAACCGAGCCGGGTCGGGGAGCATGCAGATACGGGAGACAATATCGTTCCATTGCATGGTCAGTTATTGGATTTGTGAGGAATGGTCTTCAATAGACTCACCATGTGGTGTCCCGGGGTGCGACTGACACCATGCGCAGAGTTCTCCTGTTACTGAGTAGTGAGTGGTGACAAAGGTGGTGATGCCATATGGGCGCGCAGACGTTATTGTAACCACAATGACAAGGGGGTGTTGGCGTCTGGGGACAAAAAATGATCCAGCCGGAAGCATGACTGAGGCGACATTGACGAGGCAGAGGACTAGTAGGGAGCGGGGAAAGGTTACTAAAGAATGTAACGAGAGGTGAGTGGAAGTGATATAGAGAGTTTGTGCGATGGAAGTAGTGAGAAGACAAAGGTCATCAATTGACATGGGAGATGAGAGTTGGCAGCAGACGCTCCAACAGCGCAGTCCCAATAAAGGCGGGAGCGAGGAGATCCTCGGCTCGAGACCAGAAGGTCTTTGCCGCCTAATCATGATGTGGGAGGAGTAGCAGATGCTCCAACAGGGCCAGATGGCCTAAATCCCAATAAAGGCGGGAGCGAGGAGATCCTCGGCTCGAGACCAGAAGATCTTTGCCACCTAATCATGATGCGGCAGAGCTAGTAGTTGGAAACACAACATTTGGTTGTGTTTGTCGTGACAGGTATAGGCTTAGTAAATATTAGTAATACTGTCCTGTACATAATCAGTTTTGAACCCAGCAGCATGGATAACCTGTATATAGTATTACTTAGCTTATTCCCGGGTCAGTGACGAAGGATGGCAGTCTGAAATTCTGTGACACTCAAAGCTAAGTATCAAACCAATGAGATTACACCGAAGTAGTATCATAGTAACCAACTCGTAAGTAACGGTGCTCCTGATCATCTGTTGGCGCACCAACGTAACCTAAGCCTGGGTGTCCCCTAGCCAGATCGACTGATTCGATGCTGTCACGTCAACCTTTCCTCGACATCTGTTGTTCTTCACCATACTTGACTATATCGAGCACTGTCTGCCAGTCTGTCCCTGTTCTCTCCCGGCAGATGCGCTTCACGACAGTTGGAACAGGATTGGGAAAAAGTACGTTCTCGTCAGTGTCTGAACCATGATTGCCGTTAACATCGTTGATCTTCCTCTTTCGAATCTGACGAGTACTCATGCCCGTAGTTTGAGAAGCTTGGGCCTCTATGGCATCACCGCCTACACAACCAGCTCCCGCTGTCTGACCTCTCGTCAGTATGAAAAAATCAACCACGGTTGCAGGCACTCACTATGTTTTCGTCTTCTTTCTGTTCGTCAGGTTGCACGATATCAGAGTCTTTCTTCATTATCGTTTTATGAACATCTTTCCAGACCTTCCAGTGAGTCTTGTGATTCTCCCCTGCATCATATCATTTGTACTCACTGACGACTTTCGCTAACTCAATTCAGAACTGTTGAAATGGAGCACCTCCACGTCGTGCGCGAGACGTATGAAACCTCTTCTCCTCGTTTTTGGGAACAACCTGAACGATTGTACAGGCGGTGATTCAGATTCATGCAACACGTCAGTAGCATCAAGCGGCCGCATAGGGATCTGAGCATCAGGACTGCCAGTGGAAGACGATGGAGGAGTTAGAAATTCTTGCAAGGGGAAGGGGCATGGACGATGGCCTGTGTATTTGTAGGTGAGTGGATTGCGAAAGGATCTGTGAAAAATGATAAATCTGGTTCCCAGAACACCGATACATCGTCACCGCTGCCTGATGTAGAAAATTCGGACACGCGATGAATTTGGACATGCGCCAACATGTCCTTGATCCAAGTACAGTTATGATGGGCACAATAAGGCATAGCCTGAGGTGTCATGACTCCTGGTGCTGATTCTAAAATTCAAAGGTTCGAGGTTCTTATAGTTGCGTTGCCAGTGACGTACTTTCGGGTAGAGTAGAGTATGCACGTCATACCGTAACCATACTAATATATAGAGAAGTGTGATCCGAACTCGGAGGCAGGACACCTGGCGAAGTTGGCGAGGAGAAGAAGGGCACAGACATGTTCCATGGTGATCATATGTTGAAAATTGTTCGTTCGCTAGAAAACTTAACTTATTTCTCCTGAAATTCTCAATTGTAAGGAAGTCAACAAATGAGACAGTATTACTACTACTACCACTACTACTAGCCATACATAAATATTCATCTTGAACCTGAGGTAAGGAGGTGGTACTTCGAATCCCCGCAAATACCAAGAATGGTAACTTACTCATTGCGTAACGACACAACGTGGCCCACATACAACTACCAGTTTTGGTATGCACAAGTTTCATAATTTTAATTTGCTGATGTGATTCATGAACTTGCCAAGTTCACGAGTCAACAAAAATCCTACTCCCTGAAAGGCTCCTCCCACTATTATACACTCCAAAGGTTGGTACTACTAGTAATACTATAGTTACTGGACACAGGGCCGCGACAGGGGGAGTATCATAGCCCAGTCACGACGCTCAGTACTTGAAGTACACCCATAATCATAAGCAAGCGTACTGGGACGGACTGACCTGCGGCATGCAGGCAAATCACTTCTCTCATGCGTTGAAGACATTATATAAGATTACTAGTACCACAACTCGGACGCAGCCGTAATATCTGGAGAGTCAACTTGCTGGCCAGCCTCTCACAAGACTGTCACAGACTCACAGTATGGTGTGTCCGCGCATTGAACTAACCCTACACGCTCACACACTATGGAAATTCTCAGAAAACTTTCTCACTTTCACTGAACAATGACAGGCTGACAGCACTGATAATTTGTTGATAACAGTAATAGATCATACCCCATTCCTTTGAATCTCCGCATATGCCAAAATTGGTAAGTAACCTCTGTGCACAATGTATACTAAGCACAAAAGGCATTTGCCGCCATTCTGTCTTGGTCAAACTCCACGCCCACCATTCACAGGAAAAGGTCTTGAAATCTGAGATTTGACAACTCCAGCGATGTGAGGTCTTTCAAAGTCCGATGAGTATTTACCACTTATGCACTCACAGCTGCCCTCCCTTCAACCAGCACCTCAAGTTGAGCCATGAGCTTATTCACTGTTACAAGTCCATGCGAAGTTCCATGTCCCATACCTCAGGACTGCATTTCATGTTGCAAATCAAACACCTTCAGCTCTCCTCCATGCTCTCCTCCATGCTCTCCCCAATGCTCTCCTCTAAGCTTATCACCTACTAGAGCATCAGGTACTGATAACTCATATTATGATATAATGATGTACACTAACTTATACACTAGTGACAACAGAGAGCATGGCAGAGACGGATGACGACTCTGTTTCCCTTTGACACCTGATTCTAAACGCACAGGCAGCATTCAGCGTATTGTTGATACCTCTGCTAGGGCTGCGTCGCCGACTTCAAGTCATCAGTCTCAAAAGCAGCATTACAACAACAGTCCCACCTATTCTTTTCATCCATATCGCCGGCCATCCTCATTTCAAGAACGGCACATTTTTGATACTATGTTGGGTAGAACAGACCATGATGATTTACCGGAAACCATAGGGAGCAAGGTAGGCTCTCCCTTTTCGAGAATACACGTATATAGCTCATTATATGCACCGTGTTTCTAGACCGAAGATATTGGAGATATATTCTTGCAGCATTTAGAGACTCTTGGCCCTCACATTTTCCGCCTTGTCGTGCACTACAAGGAGGCTGTTCGCGAACGCCAACGCATGCGCCTCTATACCACATACTGGGAAGCCGAGGAAAATACCAGACGTGGCACCCTCCTTCATCTTCTCTACCAGGACGCGCAAAATGAGTTTGTTCGATCGGAACAACAATCGCAAACATTACTGAACATGGCTCTTGAGAAGCATTCACCGGCTGCTATTGCCTCAGATACCAAATTCCTCGCTGCAGTCTGCGACCGCAACAAGGCATCTCTCCATCGGACTGACACTCAACTTGATGTTATAAAGGATCATATCAATAGGTCCCAGCTGTTCAGGTCGTCTGTTGATGGTGACTCAGTCCAGAAGTCGGATGCTGCCGGAGACTGTGTGGCTAGTGAGCATGGCTTCTATTAGTAATAACCCTTATTGATGAATCCCGTTAGGACACGTAATTCACGCATAGAAATCATGTATATTGTCAGAACCAGTCAGTCTGGGGTCTTACCTTTCGTATTTCACGTCTGCTGTTGTTCCATCATTGTAGTAGGTGAACGTCGATTTGACCAGAGTCACTAGACTTGAGTGCTAGCTACAGCTGGTGGCAATCTTATTTATAACGGCTGCTCAATTCTAAATGTTCGTTCAGTTCGGATCCATGAGACTTGTACCTGAACGTTAAACCTTACGGCGTGCAGCGTCAACATAGTAAATTATTTACAAGCAATCTTAAAGCAGCATTATCCCAGACCTCACCGATTGAACCTTGTTATACACTGCCAATTTTGGAATTGAGCTAGCGCCAAGTAGTAATATTGTGCACGTGGTGTGTTCTGTAACTCATAACGGTTGACCAGTATTACATGTTTTGGCCTTTATTTGGCAATGTAGATTGGTCAATATCGGATTCTTCACTTCAATCCGCTTCATAAATCGCTACTCATTGCAGTTTGCCCATATCATAACGTGAGTGCCATTCCTATCGCGGAAATCTGGACATTGAGTCGGGGTCTGACTCACCCGGCCCAGTATGCAGATTTTCTGACTTGGCGGTTTACTAACAACTTGCTGCGATGCCCTCTCAGGCTGGTCAATTGCCACCTCCGACGAATGACGATATCTACCATGATCATTTCCTCGACAACACCCACGACTTCCATGCCGCCCTCAATGATCGGTATTGCGGGCGCATCTCTGCAACCTGGTGATGGCCACAATGGACTCGGATATCGTACTGATGGTCTCGTGATGCAGCAGCGACCACCCTCTGAGCTTGGCTTTGGCCGAGGTCAGCCCACGCTGCCCAACAACGAGTCGGACTCTGAGTTTTTCTCGGGGCTTGGAGAACGACTCTCACAATTTGCTCTTCGGTAGTACCATGTACCCACCCCACTATCGTAGTCATGTCATGGCGCCCGCCTCTGATGGTGCTGTGCACCATCAACTCCAGCCAGACTCGGAGGCTGGGCCCATATACTTTGAGTCAACGGCCGTGGCCCTCAAATCATCCTTACTCGGCTTCGGGGCCACCCTCTCTTCATCACCTTCCTAACCATCTCAGTTCCTTCTTTCAAGGATACTCTCAACCATCGCTGACGAAGAACGAGGACGCCCTTTTACCACCAGGAAACCAGGAATACCCTCCTCGGGAGGTGATATTCAGCGCGCAGGATACCGTGACTGCTAGCAGCAATCAGCGAGGCGCCAAAAAACGTTCTACTACAACGTTTCGCCCGTACCAGTATCCGCCGCCAAAAAAGTCTAGAACGGTAGGTGACTGACATTAAGACAATTGTAAATTGCTGACGGATTCGCTACAGAGAGGAGTGAGCGGTTCAGGTTCGCAGTCCCAGGTGTCGGAGTTGCTGCCATCAATGGCAGCTCCCCTCAACCTACCACTACATCCGTGACCCAACCTAGTATGTCGGAGCTTCCATACGACATAACCAATACTCGACACATGCGAATCGTTGCGTCCGCTAGGACAAAAATTTTGGACTATGCGGTGAACGAGCTCTCTTACCGACGGGGACGGATAGGGAGCAGGTAGTTAAACTGCAGTTGGAAATTTCTGCAACAGCAGAATATAATCAAGGTAAGTCAATACATACCCCTTTCTGGCAACGACTGAAATTTTCGGTTGTGCAACAGAGGCGTTCGGGAAAAAATGGGCCGCTTCGAATTGGAAGACGTTATACCTGTCGCTGTCGGAGCCCTGCAGGTTTATCATGCTTACGTGCAAGAAGCATGCACGCGCAGGTGTACAGCGCGGGTTCAATCTGCGTCCTCCACCACAGTCGACAACCTCCGAACCGGATCACCAGGCAGCAGAGGTTGAGGACCTGCTCGATAGTGCGACATTCCCACCCAAGTATGTTTTCGGCAAGGACGAGACTGGAGCCTTACACTTCCTTGAAAACCATGTGGTGTGGGACGTTCTTCTGAATACCGTGAGAGAGCTCAAGCTCTACGAGTACGTCACAAGCCTCAAGAGCCTTTTTTGCACGTCTGCCGCTGCTGTCAAGTGTGCTTTACGGGAACTTAGGACCGGGAAATTGGTTGAGATTCCATTTTCTGGTATAGAATTTAAATCACTACATGACTCGCTCGAAGATTACATTGACAAAGTCATCGCTCTCGACCAGTTTTTTAAAGCGATGGGAGGCCTACAATACGCTTACTTTTCTTAGGCTGCGCCAATTATGCTGTTGATTTCATAGCTCAACTTAGATAGGAACCAGTAGACTACATCATTTGCGCAATATTCAGGAGCTTTGGTAAACGCTGGTCAAGCTTCAAGGTTGTCACGCAAGTCATTTAGTAAGCGCCACAACTTGACGTGACGCGATCACAATAACGCTTTCAAGTTCAGTCACCTCCCAGTCATTTGGGACTCATGTAGACGACACTCACTCCAGCCGACCTCCATCAGTCATGACATATGCGACACCAACACTCGCATCCCTTCAACGACAAGGTTCCAGTTCTCGATTATCTGGTGCCAGCTCACCTGCCAGTTCACAGGCTAGTCATCATGGACTCGTTACGAGATCCAGAAGAAATGGAAGAAGAACGAAAGTAACGCATAAACGTGAGCGATCAAGACTTAGGCAATCATTTTCAAAATGGCTAACCGCAACATTTCTTATTGTTGTTCCATTAGTATTAGCACCGCGATACCTGGGCCAAGTACCAGTCGCCCGTCAACCACTCTGTCGCGGCCCGTTCCTCCATTTCATTGCACGGAAGTTTGCGACATCAGGATCAGTCTCGGCATGCCAGTCTCGAATTGCCAGGTAGGTGGGTTTTTCGCTTTTACGTCACCCACCTACAGTATGCGCAGGGCCAAGGGCGAGCTCATCACTTCTGATGCTGATTGTGAGATTACACTTGCTATTTTTTTGAGGCGAGCTTTATGGTATTCTAGTTAAAGAACAATACCATTCTCGTGAAGAAGATCGGGCACCAACGCGAACGCGAGTGGAACCGTCCAAAAGCACCATCACGTTCTGTCATCCCTGAGTTGCATCAGACACTCATTGGAGTTCCACCGACGCCACTCTCAAGAAATTCCTGGACGTCACCTTCTCACGTTAAATCCCTTTCGAACGGAGCGACTTCACCTCTCAGCGGCAGGGTTCTGCATAGAAGGGGTAGCGTTGCGTCGCTTCGGAGTTTTGATGATGATTGGAGCTCAAGGTCAGGTTCCATGAGCTCACAGGCAGATCGTAAGTGATTATTTCTTTTAATTCACACCACTTCAATGACTCGATCGTGATTGGATGGCTGAGCTTGACGGGGGACCGCTACCTCGAGCGTAGTGAACGAGAATGGAATAAACGACACCCACCACTCGACATTTCAAGTCTTAGCTCATCGCATTCCCACACTTACCCCAGCCGACCTCCATCAGTCACAGCGTATGCGACACCGACGCTCGCATCCCTTCAACGGTGAGGTTCCAGTTCTCGATTATCTGGTGCCAGCT